GTACTCAGCATCTGCAGAAACGGGGCTGCCTTCATTTAGGCTTCTAAATATAGAGCCAAGCCTGGAGCTCCAGGCCACCGGCTCTGCAAGGTTTTGCTTAATTCTTTGGAAATCCTTGCTGCATTTAGCCATGGAAAAGTGCATCCCTGGCATGAACAGTGGTTTGAGCTAATTAAACAACAAGGTAACATTTTTTAACTGCACACGTGCCTGTCGCCGAGCCCTTCCAAACATCTTAGCTGCACTGCGTTTTTATGCTGCTTTTCTCCCTAGGATCACGACACACTTGACAATGGTGATAAATCAGCTTTTGTGCTGTCCTATTAGCCAGGAAAGCATTATCAGCCCCATTTAGCTGGAAATGTGAGGCCCACAGGTAATCTGATAGAGCGATTGCCCCAGGTAGTTACCTGTAACAAGCCAGGCTCAGGAGGGGAGTCCCACCCCACCCACCCTGGGAGGATGCTCTCCTGGAAGGCACAAGGATGTTTCCAGGTCTCCTACGTGGGCAAACACTGTAAGGACAGAGTTACTGGATTAAAAAAAAAAGGGGGGGGGTTAGGGACTGGTGAGCATGTGACAGCATTTTCTCTTATGTTTTGTGTGGATTTCAATCCAGGGAGCATGTTCTGAAGTTCAGGATTGAACCCTGTAGGCAAAGTTGATTGATAGAGGAACACCTAATGCCCAGTGGGTCAGTCAAGGACATTACTCAACAGCATCAAAACTAAGGTGCATCCGAATGTGCAAAGCAATAAGGAATTTTTGCCATATAAAAGGTGGAAGGTACCATGGAATTCATGCTCCTCCAGAGTTAGGTGGCAGCTGAGCAGGGAGCTCTGAGGCACGTTTCAGAGGCTCCTAAAGCTGCAGCTGGACACCAAGAGAAATACCCAAAAAGAGGAGTCCAGACTAATCCACCTCTTTAAGAATCTGGCCCCAAGTGACTTGCCACAGATTGGACAGGTGTTAAGTTGCAAAGCCAGAAATAGAAAACCGATTCCATCTCCTGGCCTTTCATTTGAGGGCTTGGACAGATTCCCAGACAACTGCCAGCCATATGAAGATACAAATTATTTGGAAGAGTGCAAAGGGTAATGGACCAGGGTCAAAAGCCACCTGCAAGCTTGCAGACCCTTAGCAGGAACCAGTGGCCAGAGCAAACCTGGGGGCTGTGACTCACGTATCTGCTGGGCAGATACATTGAAATACCCTTTCACCACTGATTCTTCCTTTCCTCCAGGCAGGATTTCTGTTATGCGCTGGTTTGTGCTCCACTGTCCACCTGCCTGGTAGCAGATGCAGGCAGATTTATTACCGCAGAGAAAGGTAGGCTTCCATTTCTGGAGCGCTCTGCCTCCAGCGCCGGCCCGGGCTGCGGATAACTCCCCGGTGGCAGCTGAAGGCAGGCTGCGTGATTCCTGTCGGCTGCCGTGCTGCCCACAGGGCCCAAGCAGCAGCGAGGAAATGGGCTGGAGACGGGCTGATTTCATTCTGTTACATAGGAAAATGATAAACAGCAGGTGATGGCTGGTTTACAAAGGCGGTCTTCAAAAAGGCAACCGATCACCATAGCCCCTCTCCCCCAGTTAGGGGCATGCACACATCTCCCTAGGTGAGTCTTGCCCGACACAACACGATCCAGATCAGTCCGCAGCAATTGTACCGCAACTCAGGAGTCCTATGGATAAAGCCTGGTAGCAGTGATCTGCAGAGGTTTATTTCTCTGTGCTCTAAAATGACACCCTAACTGCCTTTGTCCAGATCCAAATATTTTAAAGCTGAAGTATTCACCGCTGATGTGAAGCGGGCAGCAGCGTGGGCACCTCAAAGCAGGGCAGTTCAGCTGGAAACCCAACAGCTTTCACTTCCCTCCCACACTTCTCCATTGCGGTGGGCAGCACTTTCGTGCCAGGGGCTCACCAGCACCCCATCCTCAAAAATCTGCTCCAACAGCTACCGTCCTTGGCACAGGCAGCAAAGCTCACAGGCTTCCTTTTTTGCTTGAAACCAGTCCCCAGAGGCTTAATTTGCAGACGGTAATGGGATTCCACCTTCCTGCGCCTGACAGAAGGTGCCTCTGCGAGCAGCCTTGGTTCACCTTTCAAGAAGCTGACCTCTTTTTCTTGAACAGCATCCCAGTTTTGGTATGTGGGCTGTGACAAATGTTTCAGGAAAGGATTACAGGGTTAATTAACACATTAATATTTAATCCTGCTTCTCCGCTATCAGGTCGTTGGCCAAAATTTCTGCCCCCTGGACCCGAATCTATGCCGGCCATAAATATGACTTTATTCTCAGAATCTGACTTTTTCCTATTATTATGCCGAACTCCTTTCTTCTGCCTCAAGCCCTGGCCTCCTTTCTCCAACAGTCCTCCCTACAATCAAATTATTTTGGAAAGGAATTGTCTTCTCTTGGCTCCAGCTACAAGATTGAACCTCATTTACTATCAGTAACACACCTTTCCACGGTAGACTGTCACGTCTTCTGTTCAGGAGGCACGCTGTCTTCACACGTGTTATCCTTACATGTCTCCTTCTCAACTCTGCAGAAGCGGAGGGAGGAGAGGAGAGGACATGACAGGAACCCCAGCTCACCTGTGGGATGGCCATGGAAGAGCAATGGGATGGGGAAGCTTTTTGCCAAGACAGGGTTTCTGTCCCTCAGCTGGTGTCAGACACCTCTGGACCTGGCAGCAGGAGGGTGGGAGGTGAGATCGCAGCCTGCGGAAGGTGAATCCGTTAGATCTTTAACACTGGATACGAGTGTCAGGGAAAGCACACTGGCACAGGCTTTAGCATGGGATAGTTTCTTGACATCCAGGGTCTTGTGCAACCAGCTCGAAGCCTGTCCCATTCAATTTCCCCGCTATTATTTGCTGAGCTAGCAGGACTGAAACACCTACACCCATCCGTGGTGCAATCACCCCTTCCAGTGCCACGTGGGCCGGAGCAAGCCAGGGCTCCCAGCCGTGCTGCCACCACCCCCTCCAGCCAGGCCCAGGCCTGGGTTTGCCATACAGACCAGCCTGTGCGGGAGACGAGGGCTCTCCCCAGTAACCCGGGCTGCCGGTGATGGAATGAAACGCCAAGGAGCGGATGAGATGAAGCAGAAACGTGTAGCTGCAGGGATGGTTAGGTGCTTGGGCAGCTCCCTACAGACTACTCATTTGATCAGCATTTTCTTGGTGTCTGCCAGCCCTGAGTATCCACCTCCGCGGCACGCAGGGCCTGCTCCCGAGGGATGCCAACCACATCGCACCCCGGCCGGAGCCGTCGATGGCGGGGAGCGCTGGGCACCCCAGGACTGAACAGCAGCCCCAGCGCAGGCAGCGGGGCACCGTCCTTTCCTCTCTCCTGCCTTCCCCACCGGCGGGACGGGAGGGCAGCGAGGGCGGCCGCGGCCACGGCTCCCGGCCCTGCCCACGCCAGGAAGGACGCTTCTGCCCCGGCGCCTCGTAACGGGGCTTTCTGGCTGTCACCCCGTTTCTGGGCGGCTGGGTCTGTCCCCCCCGCTCCGCCCCCAGCCCAGCCGTGCCCCGGGGCGGCTGCAGCACGGCGGCCCCGCGCTCGGCAGGGGGCAGCAGCGGCGGCACAGCCGGGGGAAACC